GACAAGAGTGATGTTAAAGAGATATACATGGACGGGTACAAAGATTCTTAATTCAGAGGACGCACTGCTCACTGAAGATGAGAAGAGAGTGTCAGCTACTTCAGAGGTGCCTGACATCAGACAGGAATGACAAGAATGCTCTCAAGACCCTTGTGAAAGCCCACTAGCATGGAGGCTGTCTCCCTGCACTTTATTCTCTGCTTGCCATGCAGTCGGTGCTCAAAGCAGGGGACAGATGGGGAAGTACTCAGTCACAGGCTGCTTCTCTGATGGTCCTTCCCCACTGCGACCCAAGCTCAAGGCCTCATCACCTCTCATCTGGATGGTCCCTCAGTCTCTGCACCCATTCCTCGCCTTCGCCCTCCCCTCAGCCCTCCCTGTGTTCAGGGCTAAATTTCCAAGAACCAGTTTCTGACTACTTCACAGTCCTGGTCAAATACTCCCGAGCTCTCCACAACCTCCAGGACAAGGCTAAACTTCTTACCAACCCTCCAGCCCCACTGATCTTAACTCCCACTGCTCCTTTCCCCAGTCAAAATTCAGCTGTGCTTTTTCACTCTTGCCTGCCATTCTTTATCCTCCACTAAGAATATCTCACCTCCAAATCACCATGTAAATCAAGGTCTCTAATCACTTACTGTCTGGGTGGCCTTGAAAAAGTGACTTAACCCCCCTGATCCTTATATGCTTCATCTACAAAATGACGCTGTCTAAGAGGGGAGGATTCTTAAGAAAAGGAACTAAGATAATATATAAGCACAGTACCTTCAGCAGAGTAAGAGGGCAGTGAAAGTTGGCTTTAATCATAGTCACCTTAATAATGACGGTGTTGATTATTCTATTTCATGTCATCTCTTCCACAAAGCCTTCTCTGATCTCCCAACCAATGCTATTCCTCCTGCTTTGGAAGTTTCCCTGCTCTTGTTCGGAGCATTCCAGTGACTTTCCCACTTATTCTGTCACCCTCTTTGGAGGCAAGGACTATGACTGATCCACCCCTGGATCCTTGGCCTGATCTAAGAATAGACCCTGGCACTTGGCAGGTGCTTAGAAAAACTGATTTTTATTTGGATAGTCCAAATATTCATGAAGAAGGGTCCAGAAAAAGCCAATGGTGATCCTAAACTGCTCTGGAAGAATGGGGTCCACCTGCACTGTTGAGAAATGGCACCGAAGTACCTCTTGTGGTACCTCTGTGTCCATGGACACACAGCCAAGCCTGGGCCACCCGGGGACCAAGCAGCCCTCTTCACAAACTTTGCCCTCATGATTCATCACCCTACTTCCCAAAGCCTGAACTAGTGATGTTCTTGTTCACCAGAAAGGACGAGGGCAAGTGAGCGCAGGAGAGAAAACGGTGTGCTTAGCACAGGAGTCTGCATGGGAAGTGGGAGGAGAGCGGGGACGGGTGAAGGATCCTGTTTTCTAAGAATCAAGGTGTACAGTGATGGAAAGAATTGGAGTGGGAGGGAAGTGACCTGTGGCTTATGCTGTCTCAGCCTCAAAAAAAGATGTTGCCCCTGTGTATAATGTCAATTAGGGAAATTCTCCTTCTAGCTACATAAGCTCCAGGGCTTGGTAAGTAGGTCTCAGAGGGGTCCCAGCTAATTTCTTTTTTTCTGTTTAATTTTCTGGAGGGCATGTATGCAAGAGAGAGAGAAAGAGAGAGAAAGCACTTCCCCATGGGGGATAGTCACGTCACAATCCTTTCTCTGCACTTCTCCCTCTTTTGAGATTTTGGGCATGCATACACATATACCCAGTGTGTTTTCCAAGCTGCCAGCTCTGAGACTTGAACCTCACTGTGAGCCATGTGGGATCCAGCTGCCTTAACCATCAGCTACCAGCTGGCCTAGGTCCTGGCTTCTTGACTCATCTGATCCATAAGCCTTGCTTAGCAGGTGCACATTTTGCTTTGCCCCAAGTTGACCTCACTTGAAATTCCCCATACTGCTTCTATGGCCAGAACTAAAGCCTTGTCATAGAATTCAGTTGCTCTCTGGCATAAGTCAGATCACTCACAGTAGTTGTCCTAAATGTGTCCCAAATTCCAATCTGAAAATTCCAATCTGAAAAATTAGGCTGGGTAGCCCCATGCCTCTCAGAAGTCTATCTCTAAAAAGGGCCCAAGGATCACCTCGTCTATCTAATGCTGACCCAAACAGGGAGGGTCACACCACTAGGCAACAATGCAGCCAGACCTGGAGTGTAGTCTGGCTCTCAGTCCAGTGCACCCTTCATTATCCCAAGATGCCCTCGCTGTCTGTTCAATCCAAGGACATAACCCATGAAGAAAGTAGGTTGTGAAATGCTTCCACTAGAAGCCCAGGGCTGGCTGACTGTCAGATGGCTCTCTCCTGACCCTCCTAACCTAGTCTCAGTGCAGCAGTTTTCATCTCATGGGTTTGTGTTAACCCTTCCCTTCCATGAGACCAAGGCCTGCCTTCCAATGAGTGCCCTTTTGAATCACCAAGATGACTTCTGCTTGCACCTTCCTGGACACCTCCCCTGGCAAGACCTTTCCATTGAGCAATCACCTTGTGCAAACTGACTCTTCCTTGCCCTTCACAATTACTCGGCAACTCTGCAAAACAGTAACTTGACTGTTTATTTTTATTTCAAGCTCAAGGTTGAAGAGCTAGCTTTGGTTTTGTTTGTTGTTTTTCGTTTTTTTCCTTGAGGAAGCTATTAGAGACCTCAGGAATTTCTGGTCTTAATTCTTGATTGCTAGCTTAATAAGACTCCATCTTCTGCTGGCCCCAGTCTGTGCCAGGTAAAAAAGGAAGATACCAGGAAGAAAGGGGCTATCCCAACAAAGAGCAGATGCTCTTTAAATGGAGACTTGGCATTCATTCAAACTTCTGTCCAATCACCCATCCTCATAGCCGTGATCCAACTCATGCTTTCATTGTGTCTGCCAGCCTGGGTCATTATCTCCCATGTTTGCTCTGCAGTTTTATAGTTTATAAGGCATTTTAACTTCTTTCATTGCGTGTGATGTCTAGGACCTCCCTGAAGGGTAGTCAGGGCAGGTTTGCACATTAGAGAGAAGATAATCACATATATTTATACTTACATCTGACCCTGACCAACATTACGTAGTTAAAATGCAGTATAGTCAACCTGCCGACTTAAAGGAGAAAATGTGGTGTTGGTCTTTCCCAGCCCATCTTGGTGGATATAGGTGTAAAGATGCTTTGTGTGTGTAAATGCTAAACCTAGGCCAGGAGTAATTCATTCCAAGGCCCATACCTCCCCCGACCTTGGCTGCCATCCAGCCCCCAGTATATTTCCTTTGTTCAAATACATACGACAGGAGACCCCATAGCACTGTGATTAAGAGAACCAGATCCCACAGGGCCAACAGTGTTTTGCATATCCTCTGACCCACTCTAATGCTAGTGGCTTGAAAAACACACTAGTGGGCTGGCCCCATGGCCAAGGTGGTCAAGGAAACTGTATCCCATATGGCTGACTGTAAGGTTCAAGCAAAGTTTAAGTCCCAGCCTCTGGGGTTTGCAGAACACTCTAAGCAAGTGAGCATATGTGTCCTAAATCCTGACAGGATGGAGAAATGGAGGCAAAGCAATTGCAGCATTATTGCTTCCCAATGGGGAGTGCATTTTCCTTCTCTGTCTCCCCCTAGTGAACGCACACACCTGGCAATAGAAAGAAGGGAAGGAAGGAAGGAAGGAAGGAAGGAAGGAAGGAAGGAAGGAAGGAAGGAAGGAAGGAAGAAAGAAAGGAAGGAAAAAAGGAAAGAAGGAAGGAAGGAAGAAGAGAGAGAGAAAGAAAGGAAGAAAGGAAGAAGCATGTCAGGTGCATATGTGCACACCCAAAATCCTGGCTAGAAGGAGAAATGGATTTCAATGTGACCATGCCTCACTAAAGAGGTGCTTTCTTTTTCCCTCCCTTCCTTTCTCTCTCTTTCTCTGGCAAGCACACAGTACCTTCTGGCAATTAAAAAAAAAAAAAAAAAAAAAAAGCATGAGACTACTGGGATTTTCAGAAGAGCAAAGAGCAAATACTTCCTTTGTGCCTGTCTGTTGACTGATGGCCTTCTGATGCTGGAAATGTCCCATGTTCCTTAGACTATTATTAGGGATAGTTAAATTGGCAGAGTGAGGCTAAAAACAGCCAGTACAACCATCACTAACATTTTGGTTTTCCATTTCAGGAGCAAGTTTCAAAATAAGACCCTTTTTCTTTAAAGACTGCATTTCTTCAGGGAATTTTATTTTGTAAAATTGGGAAGTTTGTCTTTCCTGAGTTTGCTCAACCCCAGTCCCTAACCCTAGAATGTACATTCCAAACTGGAACTTGAGCCTTGAAATCCAGCCAAGTTGGGTGGACTTACTGGTGCCTCCACTACTGGCTGTGTGAGTCTCAATGCCCTGCCCTTGGACAAATGTCCATGACTAGAAATGGAGCAGAATCTCAGGGAGCCACAGGAGGATTGGGAGGGGACAATTCAAGGTCAAGGGACTCCAGGTTTCTTGCACCTAAGTCCATATTTGCTAATAGTTAACCGTGGGAATTTACACCTTTCACATTTTCTTTATTATTACTTCTAAATTGACAAATAAAAATTTCAAATATTTATGGTGTACAAGATGATGATGATGATGTGTGTGTGTGTGTGTGTGTGTGTGTGTGTGTGTGTGTGTATTATAGAAGGCAAAATCAAGCTAACTAACAAATGCATCATTTTTTGTGTAATGAGAACACTTAAAATCTAATCTCTTGGAAATTTTCAAGTGCATCAGTTATTATTAATTTTATCTCTTAAATTTATGTCCCCTCTAGAACTGAAATTTTACATCTTTTCCCCAACATCTCCCTAGAACATCCACCATATAACCTTTGGTAATGATCTTTGTACTCTCTGCTTCTATGAGTTTGACTTTCTTTACATTCCACATGTAAGGGCCACATTTTCATCTGAAATACCCTTGGAATCTGAGCTCCCTTGGCCTGTCCGCAGTAAACCATTCACCTAACTGCCCCCTCTCCCGTAACACACATATTTGCAACCTTGCTTCATTTACCACCCCCACCTCCTCTAAAGCAGCCACGATATTTTAAAACCCTTATTTTGATCTTCTTTGCATATCAGTTACACTATTTCTGAGCATGTTTATTTTTATTTTTTTTTCCGGTGGTGAGCCTGTTGCTTTGAGCCCTCTGCTTGCACGTTTCCACTTCCTCTCACTTTCCTGCATGCGGCTCTGGCCTCCAGGCATGTAGCTCAGAGCAGGCTGGATGCTTCTCATAAGCTGGTGGCCTTTGGTGGAGCTTGGAGAGACAGTTTCTCCCGTCACTGGTGCATTATTGCTCCTGATAGCTGCAGAAGCAAGTTGAAATTTCGGTTATATTTCCTTTGCCCCCATCTTCCAAAGAAGTAGCTCTGACTACTACTCTGGTGAGGGAAAAGGGCTCTGAACTATCAGGAGGAAGACAAGGGACTTAGTCTCAACTCTAACATCTACTTACCTTGAGAAAGTCTTTTGGGTTGGACTTAAAATTGCTAAAACCGTTATTGCTCTAACTTTCCAGGATTCCAATGAACATAGGGATGCTGCTCTAACAATTAGAAAGTATTAAGTATTGAGGATGGGCTTAGGGCCAAGTTCTGGGGTCAACATGTTGGAGATACAGGGATGATTGAGACACCCTGCTTTCAAGAAATGATGAGACTTATGGGATAAAACACCTCTTTGTGACAGGATTTTGTGAAATGAGTGTGATGTGACTTGTGAAAAATCTGAGACAAATTCTTGTCATGACATACGTCCGAGCTCACTTGCTTTCTAACATTTTTATATCGACATTTTTATCTCTTTTTATATACTCAGAAAGGGAGATTATTTGTACATCATGCTAGACTAATAAATGCGACTGTTTTTGCCTAGTGGCAAACATCCCATTAATTCTGACTATACTGAGCCTTCCTGGCTACTCCAAAGTTTAAGGAGACCATGTTTGGGCCCATTTAAGGCCTAGATTTGGAACTTTCAGTTTAAAGGAATAATACAACTCCTTGTCTACAGAAAAAGAGTGATTTTCTGGTCTATGGAAAAACACATAAGTCTACACAGGTTAGAACAGAGAAAAAGGTAGGCCCTGAAGCCAAACCATGAGATTCAAATGGAGATGTCACCATTTACCAACTTTGCAAGGAAACACAAAAGCTCAGTTTTTTTGTTTTTTTTTTTCCTATCTTTAAAATGGAAATGGTAACATTCTTGGCCTTTATAGGACTAAATAAGGTAATGCAATTTAGCACATTCTAAGTACTTAGTAAATGTTAGTTTTGATTATGGCTATTGCTAGACAGGAAATTAAAGGTCATCTGGCCCAATCCTCTCATTTGAGAGAAGAGGAAACTTTGACTTGATCAAAGTCACTCAGCTAGCAGCTAAGCTGGGACTAGAACCCAAGTCTTCTGGTTTCAGTCCCATGCATACTGAAGGGTTCTAATACTTCATGCTGTATTAAAAAATCCACATTTCTAAGTATTAAGAGTCAGTTCTCCTTCCCTGAAGATAGTCTGAAGATAGCACTATTTGTTTTAAATTCATTTACCATCAACTTTGCCTTGAGCACAGACTTGAATGAGATGACCTTTAGAAAGTTTGCTTCATGTTTGAAGTAGGTAGCCAGCCTTCAGGGCTTCCAAGGAAGTGGGAATAGGTACAGCTACTGCACACTTGGCATCAGAGATGCCAAGCCAAAGGCACCAGATTACCAATCTCGAATTCTCCTCTTACATGTGAGCATATCGAATCTCTGGCTTACTTGGAGCCACATATTCCACAGCAAGACACACACTAGAACTTGACTCTCAGACTTGATGTTGGTGTCCTTTCCAAAGAGTTCACAAAAACAGACTTTGAAACTCATTGTTGTGTACGCTGGCCACAGCACCCAAGCCTAGAAACATGCCAACCTACCCTGCAAGGTCAATTACTCATCTAAGTGTGCTTCCTTCCTTTCTTTTTTTCTACCTCCAGCCACAAATGACTGAGGAAATTTATACGAAATACAAAAAGGAATAATAAAGAACACAGGAACATAAACTCCAATATCCTAGAAACAGACCAGAGGATATTCGGGCTGCGCTGTTTAACATGTGTCTATTAAAATTTAAATCCATCAGAATTAAATACAACTGAAAACTGCGTCCCTCAGGTTTACCAGACACACTTGAGGTGTTCAGTATCCACTTGTGACCAGTGACTACTCATTGGACACTGAAGATACAGAATATTGCCAGGATTGCAGGAAGTTCAATCAGATAGTGAAGTCTAGACCAAAGCCAGGTCATATGGTCTTACACATTTGTAACACATTAGCCAAAATTTTGGATCTGAGCTTCAGGTTGACAAAGAAAAAAAAAAAAAAAAAAAAAAAGAGTAAAATTAGTTGTGTCGTTATACTCAAGGGAAACAAAGCTCTTCTAGTACTTAGACATAAAAATATTCCTCATATAGCTTCTTATAAAATCGGTCACTGAGTGACCCAGCAAATGTTATCCTAGAAAACCACAGAAGACAATATATTTTTCCATACAAAGATGCATCATGACTTTTCCAACGGCCCAATAGTAACAAATTTCCATTTTTATATTGACTTAATACAAAAGCTAATGATAGAAGTCACTGAATTCAAATCACTGAAAATGCTTCTTTGCTGAGGGCATAGGATACTTGCTAGTCCTTTAAATGGATACCTTAGCAATCTTGCTCAAAGAAACTTGCTGTGAGGGAACGACATCTGTACCGAGACCTGAAGGATAAGATGAAGCAGCCATTATATTTTGGGAAGAAGAATATCCAAACAGAAGAAAAAGGTAAGTGCAAAAATCTTCAGATGGGAAAGCATTTGGGAAGTTTGAGGGCGAGGACAATAATGGGTATTGTGGGTAAAACCGAGGGAAGGAGATGAGGCAGACAAGTCATTGGGCCAACTCAAGTAGGGTTTTATAGTTCATGGAAAGGTGGGTTAGCAAAGAGGTGACGTTTTAATTTATAGTTTTTGAAAGATCAGTCTGACTGCTGCATGAAGATCTGAATAGAGGGGACAAAAGTGTGGGCCAAAAGAGTATGATGGTAGCTGGGAATCAGATCAGCAGTGGAGATGGTGAGAAATTGCATAAATTGACATATGTTTTTGATGTAAAGTCAGGAGAACTTGCTGATGAGTTAAACACAGGATGTTGGGGAAATGAAGAAAATGAGAATGACTCTTAGTTATTTGCCCTGAACAAATAGTTAGGAGGCCAGATGCCACTTATTATGACAGGGAAGACTTGAGCAAGAGAAATTAGGGATGAGGAAGAAGGAAATCAGCCGTTGGTTTGGGTCACAGATTGTGTAAAATACCTCTTACACACACAAGTGAAGTTATTAAGTCTAGTGCTTGAGGGAGAAGTCAGTTAGAAACAGAGATTTGGAGTTATCTGCGTATAGATGGTATTTTAAAGCCATGGGACTCAAGTTCATCTAGAAAGAGTAGAGATGCAAGAGAGATAAGAACACCAGTGCATACCAAGGTTTGACGTGGAGAGGAAGAGCCAGACGAGACAGAAAGGTAAGGGCAAACATGGGAGTGTGCAATCACAGATACCTTAAGAACATCTTGCAATAAATTTGATGGACCAGCCATGTTGAATTCTGCTGAATAGTCCAGTTAATTGAGTACATTTTGGCGTTGATATGGGTAGGCCATTAGTGAACATGATAAGTGAATATTGTAAGTTGTTTAAATGGAGTGATGGTGTCAGAAGAAAATTGGAGCAGAGTTTAATAGAGAATGGGAATTGAAGTACTGGAGACAGAAATGTAGATCTTTAAAGTTTTTTTTTGTTGTTTTTTTTTTTCTTATGAAGGCACCTGGGAAGGATGGAGGGTCGTTGTTAGAGGGACCCATAGAATCAGGAAAGAGTTTATGTTGTTTAATTCTTTTTTAAATTAACTTTATTTATTTACTTATTTATTTTAATTTGACCGGAGAGGGACAGAGTGAAAGAGAGAGAGAGAGGAAGTGAGAAAGCAAGCCACCGGGTCCAGGACTCGAACCACAGTTCAGCATCCTTAACCATGACGCCATCTGCTGGCCCAAAGAGTTGTTGGTTTTAACAGTTATTATAAAGGCATATATATGCTGATAGAATAGGTAAGGGAGAATATCAGAAATTGAGGTTGCAGGAAAGAAACACAGGAAGAAGATAGGTTCTAGAGAACAAATGGGAGGGTTGGCCTTGGAAGCCATGACACTTTCTCCACTGAGAGGGAGGTACAGATGCAGGTACATGGGTCCAGAGGCAGGAGGGTTAAGATGTGGTGGTGGGAAGATGAACTCATTCTCCTCTAATAGCAAGAAAGGAAGATCATCATCCTGGGGGATGAAAAAGGTAGAGCTTGGAGGATATTTCAGGAAGGAACTAAAGATATGGAGGAGTTGATCAAGAGATTAAAAAGGAACTATTCTAGAAGCGTTGTAGGGTCCTCTGGCAGGGACCACTTGAATTTTATGATCTCAAATTAAAAATGAGCTGGTCAGCCTAGTCTGCAATATTCTTAACAACCTTCTGCTGCTTCTGGTGCAAGCAAAGGAGGAATGAGAGAATAATTGCATTTCTCTGGTGTTGGGGTTTTGCCAGGAACAATATAGGGGAAACCAGCAGGGGAGTGTAGAGTGTTGGAAAAAAGAGAGATTACGGTACAGAGCAGAGGAAGTTAAGGCTAGTGCAGGGTTAAGCTCGCCAGTAACACAACATTACTGGGGCTCCACATATCCAAACTGCCTGCCTCCCACCAGGAAGCCCAGAGTTTTCCTTCCTCCTGCAAAGGGAACTCATTACGGACTTTGCTTAGGTCCTGCCAAATCTAAAATTCCCTTTCAGGTTGTACAAACAAGTAGAAACTGAGGATTGGGCCCAAACTGGTGGGAGCGTCTCTCCTGAGCACAAACCCTCTGCAGCCAACTCTCCACACATGACTTGGTCCTGGGAGGTAGTGCAGCTGGCAGGAAAATACCCTAATTGTGCAGACCGAAGATGCAGGGTCCGGTGGGATTCTGTGGCTCTTACTAGATGAGAAAGTTTTCCCAACGCTGAGCCTTTCTTCCTTCTCACCGTAACCCTGACCCGGCCTGAATTGCAGCTCGTGACACAAATCTGATGAAATGTGAATGTTAAACTATTTCCAAGTACAAGGAATCACGGGGACTTGGGAACCTGCATTGTTATTAGGACTCTGTGAAGTGGCACCAAATGCAAACCTAAGGCTTGTCCTGGTGTGAGATTTTGATTTTGAATGTTGGGAAATACAGATCGGCCCG